TGACAGTCACAGTTACTGGTCCAAGGGGCCCAGATTAAACAGGAGGCGAAGTTCTAGTTCAGCCAGGTTCCTGCTTAGATATGAAAGACCTTATCTCCAGTAGGCTGGCTTCTCATTTGAATCCTGTCTCCTCTCATCTGATAAGGTAACTTGCTGTCTAAGTTTTGATCGTGCTTCTCTGCTACAACACTAGGAAGCTGACCCCTGTATTAATGACTCTTTAACTTATCAAGAAAATGCATTTTTTTTTCCCCAGAGTTGTCTGTCCTTTAACATCACCTTTCTTTCATCTCGCTGCAGTTGACTGCAGTGGAAATCTGGGACCTTGGTGCTCATTAACCAGTGGGGGATCTCCAGCAAAAGGCAGCATTGTAAGGGCAGGGCCCCATCTAACTTCCAGCAGAGGCTCTAGTTATTGCCTTGATTTGCTACTTGAAGGAGCTATCTGGAATGTATCATGGTCGTTCCCTCCCCCTCCTTTTCATTCTGCAAAGCTTTAGCTCTCCTAAAAGCAGCTGTTAAAATAAAAGCAATTTACAGCCATGTTTAGAAAGAGAAGGAAACGGGATTACAAAGGTTGAGCCTCTCTGTTTTTTCAAGTCCGATTCCAGCCCTGCCAAACATAACCTTTATACCTCCTTCCACTGAACCACAACATCTGCTCAAACATGAATTCATTCATAATTTCTGTTTAGCACCAAACAGTTTTAGTCCAAAGGGTAATGGAGTGTTTGATCCTGCACTTTTAACACCAGAGCCATTCTACAGCCTTCAGTGGGAGCAGGATCACATTCATATTGTACTCTTAAGAAACAAATAGGAATGCACTGACAACTTGCAAATGGTGTTGGAATCACCACCCTGGGGCTGAAGTCTGATTTTTCAGGGAACATCCAGCCCAACTTGGAAATAGCACTAATACCTGAATCTGGAGGGATCATTGATAGGGATGATGGGGATTGTTTGCTGAGGCAGCCAATAAGAGTATCAGATAATTTTGTGGGCACATGTCTACTGGGAACTGTATCTGGACCACCTTATTCATTTTGCGTAGATTTTCTTTAATAGCTGTTGACAGTCTAAACTTGGCTGGATTTAAATCTGAATCATAGAGGAACTCGCCTCTAACCCACCAGAACCGTACCTAAGCTACCCACCACCGTATTTCATACTGAAGGTCCAATTCTGCTCAGTGGGACCATATTGAATGCTCTGCACGACAACTAGAATGTTTTGCATATTCTGCAGATGGCAAAAATGTGTGTAATGTGCACATGGACTATATATGGACATTCAGTTGTTTGATTTTTTTTTTTTTCTTCCTTTTCTTTATACAAGCTGCATAGGAAGGGTTTTCCAGGTAAGTAACCTACCATGGTTAATTCAAACCGACAGTTTGATTTTTATACTTGTAAATCTAAGTGTTGTTAACGGCTGCACTTGCATGATAGTATTTGCCATTCCCCAGCATGAGATTCAGTGCCAGGAATCGGGATATTGCAAGCAGATTACAGAGCTGTGTTGTTGTTTGTCAGGCTTTTGCATCAGCTGTTCTGATTTTTCTTCCTACCCAGAACTGCAGAAGCATCAAGGAAAAAGAAAGAACGAAAGAAGAAATTGAAACGCTACTTGCTGATTGGCTTGGCAACTGTTGGGGGTGGAACCGTGATCGGTAAGGCTGCCTGGGAAGTCTGGGACCAACTGAGCGCTGCACAGAGCAGAGTGGGAGGTCTGCATCAATGCGTTCACCTACATCAGCCATGCTCACATCTGAGCCCTAGTACTAATTCTAACACATTCGTTCCTTGGTCAGGTGGGATTTTCTTCCCCTGTCAATTTGACACTGTTGTAACTCCATTGACTTCCATGGAGTTACTTTTGATTTACACTGGAGTCTCAGCATAAAGATGCTATAGAGTAAACGTACTTTTTAGATGATTTTTCCAGTTCAGACTTCAGCTCTATCATTGAGAGTTGGCCTATTGAAATTGGTTTGTAAATCAGGTGTATTAAAAACATAGGGCCAGATCATCAGATAGACTAAACTGTAAACAACAGCTAAGGCTCTGGGCCATGAGAAAAATACTTCTCCTGCTATACCCTGGTGTCAGAAGAGAAGCAGAAAAAAAATTTCCCTCACTTTCCCAATCCAGGATGAGGTGAAGCTAGCCCATCATCGTGAATGGGATGCCTTGATTTTACTTCTGCTAGCATGAGTATAATGGTAGAGATTTTTCCACTCACTTCATTGGAGTTGCTCTTCATTATAAATTGGTGTAAACTAGAGAAAAATCCAGGTAGAGATTCAGGGAATGGGAATGGTCTTTTTCCAAGTTGTTGTAATGCATCAATGTTGAATCGCCTATCAGGGTGGATGATCACTGCAGTACACAGTTCAGATTTCGTAGTGGGATATAGTGGATTAACTCACACTTAGTGTTAGCTGCTCTGCAGTAGAAGTCTAACCTCTCTCCTGACAACCCTTTGTGCAGCATAAAGACATATAAAGGGTTTTTCCACAGTGATCACGCACTGCAGTTCATTCCTCTCGCACCTGTAGGTTTGACAGGGGGTCTTGCTGCTCCTCTGGTTGCTGCTGGAGCTGCAACTATCATTGGAAGTGCTGGGGCAGCAGCTCTAGGGTCAGCAGCTGGTTCAGCAGCTGGAATTGCTGTCATGGCATCTCTCTTTGGAGCAGCAGGAGCTGGCCTTACAGGTAAGACCAGTAATTTCTTTGATTTCTAAACCACCAAGCCATAGGATAATATATGCAAAGCCAGGCACTCTAGGCTTAACTCGAGAGTGTTAAGTCTGCGGAGGGTATTGTGGACTTCCCTCCCTTAACTGCTAAAGCAGTGGCACTTAATCTAGGATTTCTTTTGCTGCCTGTAATCTCACAGCCATGCAGTGGCTCTGTTCCCAAGACTGAGATGTTGTGCAGCATCGTCATGACAGTGTAGCACTTGCCCTGAGGGAAATGACACACTAAATCAGGTGCTGTAGGCATCTACCCGCACATAGACAAGGTACATTTGTCTTTGGGCTTGTAGATAACCAAGATAAGTAGAAATGTTCTGCTTGTGTAAAAGAGTCATAAGGAATCGATCACTTATCTTCTAGCAGCTGCAAGAATTACAGATGCAAAAGCCAAATAGAGAAATGACACCCCTAAAATCACTGACTGGTTTCAACAAGTTTGAGAAGTTTTAGTAATGGAAAAGTCCTGTCAAGTCAGTGTGCTACAGGGGAGAAGGAAAAAAAGATATGTACTTAGAAATCTTGTGGAAATTCTCGACATTTGCTAAAAGTGAATCTTCTCCTGCCTCCAAACCAGAAAGTTTGAGATTTTTTTTAATATTGCAGGGAAGTGTAAGCTTGATGAGCTAACACTTAAGAACAGATTTGGAATAAGCTTAAAATTTAAAAGCGGAGATGAATAGAAGATAGTGAGATTTGTATTATTCAGAGTTCTGAGGAAAAAAGAGGGGGTGAATTATTACATATAAATGAAGAAACACAAGTGTAACTTCAACTGAAACAAACTGAACTGTCAGAGATGGAAAGGAAGAGAAGAAAACACAAGACTTGTGGACATTGCCTTGGGGTAAGGGAGCACTGTTGATGGAAGATGCATATCTGTCTGTGTATAATTTGGGGGATTGGATGCATCTTTAAACATTAAAATGGTGAGTTGATAAGTTTGGTTTGTTAATAAATAAAGTTAAAGTAACATTCTGCCTTGTTTTTAATGAAGAGCAATTTTATTGTTTATATCTGGTCTGGAGCTGTAATTCATTGTGCTGGGATCTCCTCAGATCACTCGAATTAAGCACAGGCATACTGGCTCAATAACTGAGTCAGAGACCTCGAGAGTATTAGTGTTTGTATTGTCTTTTGGAAAAATAGAGAGACAAATGTATATTTTTATATTACTATTATCAATTTCTGCTGTTGGCAGACCCTGCCATTGCTTATAATTTCTGCATCTATAGGATACAAGATGAAGAAACGTGTGGGAGCCATAGAGGAGTTTGAGTTCCTCCCTTTAACAGAAGGGAAACAGCTTCATATCACAATAGCCATCACCGGATGGTTGTGTACTGGCAAGTATGGTAAGCACAAAATGAGGAAACCTAGACCAAGTTTTGGTGGAAACCTAGACCAGCATTTGGGAATTTGTGTTTCTGTGGCACTGATGAAATGCCCCAGGATTAAGCTAATGTGTTAAAATACCGTGAACTAATATTAAGCCCTGTTTGCTTAAGATCATGCAGACAGGTTCAAAATGTAAAAGAATGAGACAATTTGGCATATTTTGCAATGGATTCCACGGGACATTTCATCTCCAGGTCATCATCTCAAGTCCATCCAAAGTTAATAGTAAATGAAAGGTGGTACAGCATCGTGGTTGTTGGGTATTATGTGTTAGGCCCGACGTACAGAGTCTTCAGTGCCCTTTATCCAATTTATATGGCAGGGTTTCATAACTCAGAAATGATCAAAACAGCTGGCGTTGTTTGGAACTCAAGGCAGGACAGAAGGTAGGAATGAATTTGTGACTTAGAGGTGAGCGCAGGATCCCCCTTTATGGCAAGAGTTCTGCTTTTATCCACATCGAGACC